TGGTTAGATGTCTGCTTGATTCTCAGCGGACCCTATATATAGTTCGATCCCCCGTGTGAGCTTAAATTTTTTTTTCTTTTCTTTTTTTACATTTTGTTTTGTCGAGCATTTGGCGATAGTATTTACATTTCCCATTTACAATAAACACTAAAAAAAGAAAACGAATGTCATCATTGAAATTCGGCTTAACTAAATGGTATGGGACTCCTTTTTTGGTGGTGCAATCGAGGACAGCGGGGCGTGGGTTGCCGGTGGATGCCGCGGTAAATAGTTTTGTACTTAGCAGCCGCCAGGGATGGGCAGTATTTCAAATAGAAGTATTTGAAATACGTATTTCAAATACTTTGTGTATTTTGCATGTGTATTGAATTATAACTTGGGTAATGTATTTGACGATTGTATTTAAATACTAAAACGTGGGCATTTCAAATACAATTGTAATTGAAGGGGTCATGAAACGATTTTCCTACTTCTTCCTCCTTAGCTTTAATCCTCAACTCAAATTCGAATTGTGAAATCACGTGGTCGTGACATTCCTTTGGCACCGGTGCGATGACTCCTAGCTTCCACCGTGCTTTTTATGCACACCATAGAACTTGTCATTCCCCAGTGACGATAAGTTCCGTCAGGGCACTCATTGGCCACGAACGCGAATCCAAATATCCGTCGACGGATTGATTGTTGACGAGCGCATACGTCCGAGTGACGCAGTTCTCGTGTCCAATGCGTGAGCTGGGCTCTGCTGACGTCAGTTTGGCGCCGGTGACGCGCTTTTGGAACCGCGGATGTATCATAGTGAAAAGGAGAAGAGCTTTCGAAGGCAAGAAGGTACAAAATAGTCCGCTATATTTTCAAATGTTCGTACCGAAAAGCTGGCCTTTGACTTTCTAGCCTCTTTCTTTTGGCCAACTAAACGATATCCGATTAGTAAAGTCCCAATTTAAAATCATTCATCCCAACCCAAAATTTGTTTCATGGCCCCTTTAAATACAATATCGTGGGCGAAAATATATCCCTCAAATTTATTGTCACGACAATTCTTGTTTTTATGCTTGTGGTTGTAAGATATTGTCTCCATCCTTTATTCGGCCATGGGATTTTTCCTTTTTCTCCTCTGGCTTTATTTTAAAGGCGCTGCCCAGAGCAGGAAGGAAACTACGTTCTGCACTGAATGCAGTGTCTCTCAGTCAAGCGCAAGCGTTGAATGCTTTGCGATTACGGTGCTAGTCCAGGGCAAGAATAGTGACGAATCGACGGTCACAGGCAGACTGGCTAAATAAGTGTCTGTGACAACTTTTGATGCTTTGCAGCCTGATTTCCAATCATATTTTTGCCTGGAACATTCTAAATGCGCGGTCGTCCAGGTTTTCATAACAAATTCTTTAGGTAGTGCTGCGCGTCTTGGTCGTCTCGGTCTTTGTTGGTCTATAGCAAAATGTAATCGACAAAAAAGCTGATTGAAGCTCTGTACTTTTTCACGTATTACGTCCAAGCTGATCACATCTTTTTTTTTTATGATTATATTTCTGTTACGTTACTAGAGCCTCGCACACTAACTCCCGAATGTACAATGCAAAAATAAAATGAGGCACCTAGAAACCCGTTGCAGGTGCCCTGAAGTTGCTGACGCAAATTTTGAGGAATGTATTTGGAAAAGTATTTGGAGGAAACCAAATATGTTTGGTTGTATTTGTATTTTTTACTTAAATGCTTTTTTCGAAAATGTAATTAAATTTGTAATAATTACATTTTGACGAAGTATTTTGTATTTCGATACATATTTGCATGTCTTTTGCCCATCCCTGGCAGCCGCACACTGTCGCCGCTTCGCGGCGTGAACGCAGGCCGTGGGGGGGGGGGGGGGGGGGGCGAGGGGGGGGGGGAGGAGGATGAGGATGATGATGATGATTATGATTATGATGATGATGATGATGATGATGATGATGATTAACGAGCTCCCCGGGGATACACGCGCCGTCCCAAAAGGGTTACCCAAATGGCATGACCTCTGCGCGTCATGCGTACAGCCATTTCCGGTCAAGTTACACGACGTATGGCATATAGGCTCCTTGCATTGACGTCACATCGCACACATTTGCACACCAAGTAAAAGGAGGAGAGGGAAGCTGCTTTTGTAAGAATTTTGAGTGACGGGTTAATCTTCTATAATCTTCTGGGAGGAGAATAGCGACGCCTGTGCAAATCCGGAAGGCACAAAGGAGGGTCCTGATAAGAGGGGAGCTCCTTCTCCCCCTCTTCTCTGGAGGGTATCGGAAATGACGTCATGTGCAAGGAGCCTATAGCTTTACTCTACTTTAAATGCATCTGAAAGCATGGTGGAGCACTGGTTTCCTCTGCTACTTGACCGTGTGGTTAATCTTGGCAGCTTGCTGAACATGCGGTCAAATAAAGGTGGTGTCTGCTTGATGCAGAGAAATAATGCAGACTTTTGCTTCTTAGGGATAGTAACGGATTATCGTCCAATATTTTTAGTTTCCGAGTGAGCTTATCCACGCTAAGCCAGTAATCAGTCATCGTCTTGTTAACACTCGTGTGCGTGTTGCGGATGCTCCGTAGCTCCGGGTGATCTGTGTACTAAATGGAGGCCATTTTATCGGGACTGATATGCCCGAAATAACTTGAGCTTCTAATGAATGTACACACTTCGAAGCTACCCCTGTCGTGTTGAAACCTCTATTGGAAATAGTGGTATTCACTGGACGCCACATCGGAGCTCTCTGAACGCTGCGCATTCTCAAAGTGAACTCCCGCTTATAGCCTGAGAAGGACACTCTTTTTATGTAGAGTAATGCTGCACGCACGACGTCGTGCAGCTCTACCGTAAGTTGCTATACGCGCGTTAACGTTCATTGATTGGACGACCCAAAACCTGGTCATAGTGGCAGAGCTTTGTTCTGCCAATAAAAAAAACAAAGAAGAGCCCTCAAACAATTATTTCGGCCCATCATCACCTTACCAGCCTCGCAATTCACGATCGTGCTCGTGAATATGCGACCAGACTTGCACATTGTGCATCCAGCCTCGCACATTCACAAGCATGCTCGTAAATGTGCGAGGCTGGTTACCGCAAAATAAAGAGTATGCCCCCCCCCCCCCCCCCTCGTGTAAGCGCCCCATCTTATTTTATGAAACTTGAATATTTTATAGTCGCTATCTTGAATGTTGTTCCCGAACAACATTCCCAACAACATTCGGAAAAAGGTATGCTTATAGAGCAGCACATTAACGTTAGGGTTTGTGTTCGTTTGGCACGTTCAACAGCAGCCTGGAACATGTTGAAGCATGTTTTTGTTCATACTTTACACTAAGAAAGGCAAAGGCCTGCTGTTAATGTGCTGCTTTCTACACATCCTTATTTACAATTCGCTTGGAAATGTTCCTTGCTCAGATTAATTGGAGGTGCTGCAGTAACTGCGTGACCTGCTCGGGAGGACCATTCCTCTGTAAATTATATTGACTATGTTGCAATATAATGTGAGTCAACATGAATCTGGTACAGTCATGTCTCGTTAATATGGACCCCGTTAATCGGGACACCCCGCAATATGGACGAAATTTTCGGCGACCGGACTCCCGCCATGCAATTCTGTCCCGTTAATACAGAAACCCGCAGTCCGGACTATGGACGGCTATTTTGGGGACGAAACGGGAAAATACAGGCATTTTTGTCTCGTTAATATGGACACGTATAATATGGACACGAAAAAAAATATTAGTGACCCCAGTGTGTACTACTCGGAATTCACCATTGCCTTTTTGCTCCCCGCCTGGTTACTTTGAAGGCGAGTCCACATACCCGACAGAAGACAAGGTTAGTGAATCGTAGAGGTCACAGTTTGTACCCGGAATTCACTATTGTCCTCCGCCCTTGAGATAAGAGCTGCGCGCCTGAAGGTGGTCGTTTTTTTTTTTTTTTTTTGTTTCTTGTCTTTCAAGCTTAAACGTATGCCATCTCCTTCCGGGTTGGCATACGTGATGAATCACATTCGTTGTGCATAAGAGGCAAGAGGCAAGGCTGGACGCTTCTCCGGTCATTTCGGAGGTGGAGACGGTGACAGGTGTTAAGCGTAAACGGACAGAGCTTTCTGCTCAGCTGAAAAAGGAGATATGCAAATTCAAAATTGAAACGCCTTCAGCGTCTGTTCAGGACGTGAAAGAGTGGAGTGGAAAAAACCTTGGCGTTGATCTCGGAAAATCGACAGTCCACGCAATTCTAAAAGAATCAAAGAAATGGATGAGCGTTCCCACAGCCAGCTCCAGTTCCTGCCGGCAGCGACCCCCAAAGTTTGAGAAGTTGGAGGAGGCCGTCAACATCTGGTTTGCGGAAATGCGCTCCAGAGGGGCCGCCGTCAGCGACGAGATGCTGCAAGAAAAGGCGAAGGAGTTCGGCACAACGATGGGTAAGTCAGTTCTGAGCGTATCTTTTTAAGCACTGAGTTTGAAAATGTTTTCTCAAAATGTTACGCATTCCTTTCCAAAAATGTTGTTTCTTCTAATGATTTTTCTAGTTGCTCGTTCTTGTGCAATTACGCATCTACGTTAAAATAACTGTTCTCTCTTCAGTGGTTTTATTTTAATGTCTGCAATCTTCACGTCTTTATGCAGACATTCATGACCTGAACTACTCAAGGGGTTGGCTCAGCAGGTTTAAGAGAAGGCATGGAATTTCAAGCCACCGTATTCATGGAGAGAGTGGAAGCGTGGATACAGCCGCCGTTGCCAGTGCTCGGAAACAGCTTGCGGAATTTCTTGCTCAGTATTCTCCAGATGATATTTACAACTTCGACGAGACTGGCTTTTTTTACAAGTTGGGCCCATCTTCGACTCTGGCATCCGAACCTGTGGCTGGAAACAAGCGAAGCAAAGAGAGAATCACGGTGGGATTTTTGTGCAACGCAAGCGGCACCCACAAGTGGAAGCCCATTGTCGTGGCAAAAGCGGAGCGACCACGATGTTTTGGAAAAACATTTGACCCGAACATGTATTGCTCTTACAATTGCAACAAGAAAGCATGGATGACAGGAAAGATATTTGAAATCTTCTTGGCGAAATTCGACCGCTTCTTGAAGGCTGAGAAGAGGAGGGCTGTTTTGTTGGTTGATAACGCATCATGCCATTCTGTTCGTGCGGACTATGAAAACCTTACCTTGAAGTTCTTTCCACCCAACATGACTGCCAAAATACAGCCCTTGGACGCAGGAATTATTCGCGCGGTTAAGGCACACTACAGAGGTGAACTTGTGCGGCACTACATCGCTTGCGCGGAAGACAACAAACCGCAAACTATTGACTTGAGGTGGTGCCTTCAAAAGCTGAAGAGGGCGTGGGACGCAGTGAGGCCTCAAACCATTGTGAACTGCTGGCGTCACGCAGGTATTCTTGTTAACAACTCTGCTATGGAGGTGGAGGATCCGATGGATGAACTTCCGCTCGCGGCCCTTCGTGAAGCTCTTCGACAACTCGGGGAGAAAAACCCAGATGAAGAGGCATCGGCATTCTTGGATATAGACGAAGAGACTAACAGCTGGGAGCTTATGAGCGACGAGCAGATCATGGAGCTTGTCGGTGAATCCGCTCAACAGGGCCATCAACTTGTCGAAAACTTTGCGCCGACAGAAACAGACGATGAAGAAGAGAGACCAACCGTTACTCGATGTGAAGCTCGCCGTGGCTTGGAGACAGCAATCGCCTACCTTGAGCAGGAGGGGGACGGAGAACGTGCACTTCAAGTGGCCAAAGTGCCACTTGGCTTTTTGGACACTAAAGTGGGATCGAAAGCGTCAGTGCAAACTCATATCTCCTCGTTCTTTGCGAAATAAACATTGTTTTTTTTTAACAATTATTACCTAATGTTTGTGTTTTTGACCTTGATTCGTTATTATGGACGATTCACATTATGGACGATTTTTCTGGGGAACGGAGGCGTCCATATTAACGAGACATGACTGTATTCCGATATATTATCATATAAAACCAATACTATAGTATTGGTTCTATAGGTCATAAGATGCGTCGTAGGATGCATACGCTCTATAGAGCGTATGCACCCTACGACGCATGCGACCTCTATTTTAACCAGTCTTAATATCACTAGGCTGCAAATGCAGGAGCCTTTGTTCTGCAGGCGCGCATAAATATACTTTTGACCGGGCTATGCTTATCAGTTAGAATTAGTATTATAAACAAAGACATGAAATTTCAGCATTCTAATAATAACCGCAATATTCTGCTTAAGCACTTCAGGCAGACTTTTTTTGCAACATTGCATTGACGGGTACTGTGAATTCTTTTTTTAACTGAAGTATCTTGTACAACTTTATAGGCAGGCGAGCTGGTTAATATGGAGACATTCTACAACCCAAGACAGAGGCTACAAAGAAGGACAAACACACACGTCTCAATTGAGACATGCGTTTGTCTTTCTTTGTCGCCTCCATCTCGGGTTGTGGAAATGTCTTATCGTTGTGGGCTGACATGTGTCCAGTTATTAATGAGAACTGACGCCAGTGGGCTGAAACGTTTTTTTGTGAACAGTCTCAATCCGTCTTGATGGAAGGGTCAGACTTTAAGCTCGTAGTATGCGTACGGGCTATCCAAATTAAGGACGTTTGTCTCGGCTTCAAAGTATACTACAGACACGATTTAGAACTCGTCCGGATTGGATTACTAACCGGCACCGACACTGAAGTTGAAAAAGGAGCCAGGAACTCCTTAGCTTCTGTTATACATCTTCCTCTAAATATTCCAACCCATTATTTAAGTCCTCTTTCTTTCAGGCAAGTGGTGGGAATGAACCCAGAGGAGGGGTCCCGACAGACATCAAGAAAAGTTGCTCTTGTGCGTCCCAAGGTGCAAGGAGCCCTTCAAGAGCTCTCAAAGTTCAGGAAGAAGTGGGAAGAAAATTCGGCGCTTGTCTAAATTAATCTTCATTTTCTATTGTTAATAGATCTATTTGTTTTTCATAGGCCCAGATGGCCTATGAAACAAATTTTTGTTTCATAGGCCAGCATAATTTTTTTTTACATTTTTCTTTGGGAGACAATGCTCACTTTCATCTTTTTTTAAAGCCTAATAACATTGGCTCAGCTGCCCCAAAATATTTGTGGCACGATGTATTTTCTAGTCATTTAAGCGAAAAATAAATGTTAATACTTTTGAAGCAGCAAACTGTTCGCTCTTCTTCACAATGGGTTCGTTGCTATGGTTTGGAACCAACAGCATCAAGCGTGAACTTAGTTTCATGAGGATGTTTACAAATGTTTACCTGCCTTTATCCCCGTCACTGCATGTACAATGCTCCCTAAAATTGAAATAGCATGCGAAAACCTTCTCATAGCATTCCTGGCTGTTGAGTGTATATATGTCACAGATTCATTGTTCTGTTTTCAGGATAGTGCTCGCATTAGATACAACAGTTCAAATTTTTCATACAAGTTTGGGGAACATTTGCGCATTGCAGGTAATTATATGTTGCAAAGGCTTGCATCAAGTTGCGCCTTCAAACCGTCAGGACATCCCTGTTTTGCATGTCACCTATTAACCTTTTCAAGGAGAAGCTTGGCATGTGACATACAAAGCCCGGATGTACTCGTGATTAGCGGTAGTATGGTGCCTGGATCGCGTCTCCGACTGGTGTGTTTAGCGTCCTATCCCGCCCATACATCAAAAGTGGTCCCAATGTGACAACAAATGACGTCACAGAAGCCGGAGTGTCATGCTGTTGCCTGTCGCGATGCTGGCGGTTGGCCGTAGTAATGCTTGCGAAAAGCACGAGCGAACGCGAGTGTCGCTGTCGTCACGGCGTCCCAGACGTCCCAATTTCCGGCTGCTCTAGCTTCCGTGAACTGTCACAGTAGAGAGCGACCTGCAGCAGAACAGGCATCTGCCATATTCACCACAGCTGCTGAGACACCACCAGGGTCGCGACCGGCGGCAGCATGACACTTGTATGACGTCATCAGGCGGAAATCGAGGGACAACTTTTTTGGCCGCGGTAAACACACCAGTCGGAGATGCGTTCCAGGCACCATAGCGGTAGTAATGTAAAATGGGGTGAGTACCATCACAAATGAGACTGAACTTTTTCCGTACGTACAAGAAATGTGACATTTGCTGCTTTGGACGCATTGGAAGATGTGATGTACCTCGTAAAAATGGTATGTGTCCTGGCATGGCTTGCAACAGAACATGTACTGCTGTGTTCCATGATGGTACATTTCCTGTAGCATACAGTACTTGTTCCGTAATGATGATGTATGGAACTTGTGGCTGCCCACGCAGCAATAACATGTCCCATACTAAAGAAGTATGGAACATGTTCTGTAGTCCGGTAATACAGTACATGTTGTGGCAACAAGGTTAGCATGTATGTGTCCCATACTTTGACAGGAGTTTTTCTAACAGTGTGCGTTTAGGCGATTGGGATCGTGTTTGACGATGATTCATGTTTCAATAAATCAGTTGGAAGGTTGCGCCTATCCAAGTCGTACGTGTGTCTTTTATCGTCCTGTTTGTTCGCGCCTAATTTTTTAATAGAAATGAACCAACTAGCCCCAACCAAAGTTTTGTTGTGGATACACATTCCGGCAAAAGGTAAAAAGAAAACAAAAAAAAAAAACACGTCCCAAAGTTGAGAGCGTTTACAGGCGATAGTCCCGTTGGTTAATCCTCTCTAATGGTGAATTCGCGTGGTCGCCTCTCTTCTGACCTCGTTTCAGCAGAGCGCCCCTCCTCGCCGCCAGAGCTACCGGGATCCGTTTCAGCTGATCCCAACTGCTGGCTTCAGAGCGCTCCGAGATTCTCAGACCAGTCACGGAATTAAAATTTCTGGACATTGGTAATGCATTAAAAACAACACGATCCTACAGCGTGCAGTGGACGATTGAGCAAAATTTACGCTCGCAACAAGATGAAATAACGGTTTTGTCGTGAAATGTTTTACTCATCAGCATGTAAAAAAAAAAGAAAACACCAGTATGCGAATTGATTTTTGCAGAACGGAACGAAAGCCAACGCTTGAAAACAGTTGTCAACTCATCGCGTTTTCGACAGTGAACGCGCTGCGAGAGCAGGCGAATTTAAAATGGTTAATAAGCCGCATTTTTCTCATGGCGAAATATCGTGCAAGCATCGCAATGCGACACAAATCACAGTGGATTATATTCGGCTTTCCCTTTATTTTACAACACAAACCTTTGAACGCACTTTTACCAAACCTCGGAAATTTCTTGAACCGACTACAAAATCCGGTAAAACAGCAGCGAGCTCTGCGAGCTGTTTCGTCGTCGGTTAGGCTTAGCGGATTTACCGCCGTGAGATGAACGATCTCGTGAAGGCACTGGGAATGCTTCACACGTCGACTTTTCCTGTTACGGTCGCAAAGGAATGTCGTCCCGTCCGTCGTAATCCTCGCACCGCCGAATTCACAAGCACTTTGCAGAACCACATATCAATCGCCCGTCATACCGTACCCCGCACACCACCACAGACCACTGCCGGCCATCGTCAACAAAACCACGTGATCCCCGTCCAAGTACCACGTGACGCCTGCGCCGCTCCGCACTCCGATGGCTACAGACGGAGTGCCGAGAGAGCGCTCTGAGAGGGAGAGGCGCCCTCGGAATGAACCACCCGATCAGGCCACAGCACTCTCTTTCAACCACCCGATCTCGCGCGCTCTGCAAAGAGCGCTCGAGAGCGCGCGGAAAGAACCACGCGAATTCGCCATTAGGCTCACCACACCACTGAGACGGAAAGTGGGCACGCAAATGCCCAAAAAGGAAACATCCCCCAAGAGTACAAGAGCTATTCCTATTTTTGACTGAACTCCCGTAATTTTCTTCCTTCTTACCGCAATCCACTTAACATCAAACCGGATGTCAGGGCAATGAAGATAAATAAATAAACTTAGTATAAACTATACCAACGAGCATGTCTCCCGTAAAGCGGGACGTACACATAAATAACACGGATCAATATGTTTGGTAAGGCACTTTCGCCACGCAAATGACTCATTAAACAGATTGAGGGACATGTAATTGTAATTTCTAATTTATTTGCACAAGAAGTATGATGTATATGCGACGACGTGCGAGGCTAGGCAGAAAAATAACAACCCTTACGCTTGTGCGCCTGCTAGCCGGTCGCCGCATACACCGTGGATGAGGGGAAAGGAAAAGGGGAAAACAATTTGGGTAAGCATAAATAGTCAAAGCAAAACAAAAACAGCAAAGCAACAACAGTGGTTATGGTGCCGCAGCTCATGAGGTGTCCGACGCCACTTGATGGGAGAAGAGCCTGTACAGTTCTCGGGACTCATCATTTGATGCCTGTAGAGGGTTGCGAGCGTTTAGTGGGATAGTTAGAAAGTCTCTGACGGCGGCGGGGATGAAAGATTCGCTATGGCGAGTGGTTCGGCCGCGGAGCGGCTCGAGCTGACCTGTAATTTTGCTGACACGCACCACTGACGCGAGGTAGGACCCCGCAAGCAACCCGTCGAGCAGCCGACAGGTCGCACGTAGACGTGATGTCCGCCTCCTCTGTCCGAGGGGTCGCCCCTCGAGCGCCCCAATGCGTGCGTTGTAGGAGACGTCCGCTGCACCGGATGACCAGCTCCAGATGGTTCGGGTCGCCCGACGCTGGACGCTCTCGAGCCGTTCACGAAGGTGCTGCTGAGCGTTGAAGGGGAACGGAAGGACAAGTTCATGACCGCGCTCCAGACCGACTAATCTGGTTTATCGTTAGATGTACCGAAGGATGCCAAAAACGCTTTTCCAAACTTTTCCTGTTTAGCTTTCCTCCTCAACTCATAAATCGCGCA